TATATATATATATATATATATATGATACTGTGCAGTGACAAAATGGAGAACTATAAGAAGGAAATGAATACTTTAGCGGAGAGTCTGACAGAAATGGTGTTCGACGTGTTGGAGATTTCTGAGGAAAAAAGGAAGTGGATGGCTGCAAGCGACCTGAGAATGGCTCTGCAGTTGAATTTCTACCCAAGCTGTCCCGAACCGAACCGAGCCATGGGTTTGGCTCCTCACACTGACACTTCTATCTTCACAGTTGTTCATGTTAAAGAAAGTGGTCTTCAACTCATGAAGGAAGGAAAGTGGATCAATGTGCAGCCTCCGCCCGACACTCTCCTTGTTCACGCCGGCGATCTTCTGCACATGATGTCCAATGGACGCTTCTGCAGCCCACTTCATCGCGTTGTGCCGACTGTGAGCAAGAAACGTTGCTCCATTGCTTATTTCTACTCTCCACCCACAGATTATGTGGTGTCTCCATCGGTGACCGGAGATCTTGATGCTGCTCGTTTTCGTGATGTGACTGTGATGGAGTATATTGGGATCAAGGCTGAGAAATTTGGAGAGTCCCTCTCTGTCGTTAGCATTTGAAATGTGTTTCTTTAATTTATCTTTGTCTACCTGCATGTTGTAGCTCTTCAGTTACACTAATAAGTTTGGTATTAGCAAAATAAATGAAAATTGTTCCAATGCTTGACTTCTTAGCTTATGTTTGATTTAATAATAAACAACATAGGATTTAAGAAAAATTATAACAGTGAAGAATACTATATTCTCAACATTGTTGTTTTTGTTTTCTTAATATTTATGAAAAAAATACAAAAACTTAGATGACAACTAGAACCATTCAAAACGTTATTAAGAGAATATAGTCTCGTGTTTGATTCAAATGGGCTACAAAATTCGGAAAGAAACAGATAAGTTATAGATCCTCCTGGATCTAGTATTGAGGTAGCTTCACAGATGAATGAGTTTTAGTTCCTATTAATTAACTATATTTTTAGTTCTTAAAATTTAACATACACAAATTTAAAAAAAAATATATTTTGACATAATTTTTTTAACAATATTTTTAATACAATACAAGTATTATTTTTTTATTGCTTTATTATTTATTTATTATTTATGCTAACATATTTTAAACTTAATAAAAAAATAACACATTTACTGTATCAAATATTTTTAAAAAAATTTATATTATTATTTCTTTAAAAATTAATAAATAGAAATTTTATAATCCAACTATATTACAATTTTTTAATGTGTCAAATAGTATTTTATACTTATATTAAGTTATTTACAGCCTATACAAAAAAGAAAAAATAACATTATTATTAGATTAAAAACACTATATTTATTTTTTTAAAATAGAAAAAAGGTATTATATATAGGTTAATTAATTTCATTTTTAAGAGGATGTGTTTTAAGTGCATTTATTATCTTTATATCTAATATTAATGATTATTTAATCAAATATTTATTATTAAACTAAAAATTATAATTTTTATCAGTAAAAGATTAATCTTGTAATAATAATATTTTAAGTAATATTTAATATTTATTTATGACTTATTTCACCCAATTAATACTATTATACAAATAATATCATCTATCATAATCAGAAAAAGTTTTAATTATTCTTTTTATTCATCAACTAACTTTATTTTTACTAATATTATTACATATATTTAAATATTTTCAACGGCTAATTCTTAAAAAAAAGAATAAAAAATGAAGGGAAACGTTGGAACTTAAACATATTTAAAATAATTTGCGTTTTTTTTTAGAAAAATATTATATATAATAATATACAATTTTTCATTCAATGTTTTTTTTTCTTAGATAAGTTGTCTCTAAATAAACAATTCATCTTAGAACAAAAAAAGACAATAAATATTGATCATCACCTTAACTAATATTAGAAGTTGAGACTTTTGAATATCAATATGAAATGAACTTAATTTATAATACGTAAGGTTAGTTAATTATATATATTATATTATAATATAGTGAGGTCGGTGTTGGAGTTACGTAGAGCATGTAAAACACTTTGAAATTGATAAGAGATGAAAACTTGGAAGATTCATGCATATTGTAATGCAAGACTGAGTCATTATCTGTAATAAAAATTCTGGTATTGTTATAGTTCTTCAAAGACGTGTATAAAGATTTGAAGAAGAAAAACATTTACTGGTTAAGAAGACTTTTGACTACCAAAACATGTGAAAAGAAAGGAGATTCGTAGACGAAAAACCTACAATAACACTATCCCAATTTCAAACCCCTTCATCATACTTTTTTTTCAGAGTTTCATCACTGAAAACACAGATTTTTTCATAAATAAAATTTATTGATTATCAACGTATGTATCAATGTATATTACCGTGAAATAGTAAATCCAAATCGAAAACATATTATTTGATATAGATGGAAGCATTCATTCTCATTTAACTTTTGAAACTGTAATGCATTTAAATGACCACTGTCTTATTCATTCACACCAATAACATATGACACGCTTCTCCAAATGAATACAGAAGATGGCCAGTAATATAACATGCAACATTATCATCTTCTGCAACATTATTTAACAAATCAAATTCAATCAAAAATCGCGATAAAAGATTTTAAGAGCTCAATTGTCATAATTGTATAAATACATATAGATGGACCAATAACATAACATGCAAGATTTGTTCCCATTCAATATCATCTCTGTCCAATAACATAACATGCAGCATATGTACTTAATAGTAATTAACACACCCTTAAATTTCCTTTCTTGATTACAGAAAAGACAATTAACTTTTTTTTCTCTCTCCTCTGATCCTGATCCTGTCCAACGCAGCAGTTCTTTGTCAGTGCTATCTTTATCTCATATCCTTCACATATTCTATAGTTAATTTTATATTAATTAAATGTTTAAACATAAAGGTGCTTCTCAAAAGTATGATTTGTTTGGATAATGAACAACGATATTGTATAAAATATGTGAAAAAAAATAAAGTAAAAACTATAAAGAAACTGAAAAAAACAAAATAGTAAGAGAAAGAGATAACTTATCAAAGTAAATAATTGAAAATAAAGTTGTTGAAGTAAGTCGGACAGGATTACAGAAGCAGCAGAGAATGGGGGAGGATTTTCAATTTATTTTATAATATACCTCATTTAAGATGAATGACGTAGGAAAACAAATTAAGATTTTTTTTAATATTTTTGTCCGCACTTGTTCATTTTTTTTTTCTAATTCTGTAAAGTATAAAACTTATTGTATCTACTTATTTTTCATATATTATATGTTAATTAAAAACAATAAAATATCAAATTATTGTTTAGTTTCATCTCACATGTTCTATTCCATTTTTATAATAAAGAGAGATAACTCTCTGTTGCTTTATTTGACACTAAAATAAGAGTTTCATACTTGTCTTTTTTTTTTAAGTTGTTACACTCACTAATTTAATTTAAGTGTTATATTTTTTGTATGTAAATTCTTTTTGGGAAATGCTTATATTCTTGTATGAAAATTATGTTTGAAAAAATTATGTTTCAAAATGTTCTATATATATTTATTTTGTTTTCTAATTAGTTGTCATTTACACAATATTATTTTCAAATATATATACTATATTATATTATATATATATATATATATATATATAAAATATGTTCACATGTTTTATTTCATAGTTAATTTTATAAAAAATATAATTTTAACTATAAGTTTTAATAAAAAATTATGAAATCTATGAATAAGTTAGATAAATTTTTATTATATACAAAGAAAGTTTATATTTATGCATTATATTACAAAAAATAATAATAAATTAAATTTAAATTATTGTGAGAAAATATTTTGAAGATAATATTATAAGTCATATATATGGATCTTTATATAACACTTTTGTATATTATGTAATTTTTTTATATATTTCATTTTATAAAAAAATGAAATGAAATAACATAATATCGTCAAACTAATTAAATAAATAAGTTAAATAATTAAAATTAAATTAAATTGGGTGACACATAATAGTAATTAATAAGGATTGATACATAGTATTAAAATTCAAAAGTGAAAATAATTAAGTAAAATAAATCATTTTACATCATTATAAAAAAATATGAAATAAAATGACGTCATGATTGAAAATATAACTATTAAAAATATTGAAAAGTGTACTTTCAGATGAGCATATAAGAGAGAAAAAAAAAATTAGCGCGAAAGAGACTTGATTGATGTAAATTATAATAAGGTGTGGACGAACAATTAAACCATTTATAAATAAGTTAACAAATGAAAATATATTCTTTTAATTATTTCAAATATTAAAATTGATACATTTACATTTTCAATAATAAAAATTATAAGTTTGAAATAAGTATTTTTTAAATTTAAATTAAAAAATAAAATTAATATTAATATTTGAATAGAGTGATTTGATGTATAAAGTCTAAAAAATTATTTTAATATAAATATATAAGTTGTATTTAGCCTTAATTACTAATTCAATCACATTTTGAATAAGAAAAACATTGTTCAATTAAAAACAATTTCGGATTTAATTGAGTGAAAAAGGAATATAAGAATGAATACAAGATACTATCATGTATGAACATTGATATATGTGATAACTGATAACTTTTTGGCAAGTATACCAAATCGTTCCAAGTAATACAGTGAATAAGTAAAAGTATCGTCTCCCAAGGGACTTGTGCAACACATGACAATTCTTCCTTTTATAACTCAATTAGACATCAAAATGCACAAAACAACACAAGAAACTATTTTTGGTATTTTATCAAACAGTTAGTGTGCAAGAAATTATATTTAAATGAAACTTCGTTGGAATTGGGTTTCATGAATCATATGAATATAAAACTTTGTTCAATATTTCATTACTTCATTCAAACATTCACATCAAGGCATACTAGTCCTAATCCCTTAGCAACTAGTTCTAAATTAATATATTAAAATGTTAATCCCTTAGTCAATTTAATATACAATTTGCATTAAGTCCGATGTTAGGAATGATCAAGTTATTGAGTCTATTCCTAGATCCCAAATCACTTAAGTGCTCTATCTACGTCCATGTTCAAAGTTACTTTCCAATAATCAGAAACATTCAAATAACATTATATTTCCATACAATGATAGTAAATTCAAGAAAGAGCATATGAACGAAGAACAATATATTGAACAGGAAAATTACATCAGAGTAAGTTCATTACATCCAATTCCAACGAAAGAAAAACTACTCCTAGTCATCTAAACGTACACATTTGAAGCAATCCCTTGCAAAAAATGGTGTCTTGATGCCTTGAAGTAGTCTCCGGAAGTTCCTGAGATGTTTTCGTTTCTTCCTTTTGTCTGGAACTTCTTTTCGAAGAGAATGTTTCTGTCGCTCTGTCACGTCTTTTAAAGCCACTTAAATTCATTAATTCGCTTAGCGCACATGTATTGGTGCGCTATGCGAATTTTGTGTAACCGCTGCCCCTCAACTGATGTTATTCGCACAGCGCACAAGTAATGGTGCGCTATGCGAATTTCCATTTCCTGGCAGTGCGAATTTTGGCTTTCGCTTTGCGAAAATTGGCTGACAGAATCTAAATAATACA